CGTCTAAAACAATTATGAGTATATTTTACTTACCTTGCATGCACAGTTCAAAGTTTCGATAAAAAGGCAAAAACAGCCAGTGTGCAAAGCAGTTAATTTTTAGAACAAGGGCACAGCTTATGTTAGAGAAGGTGATTTCTTAGTCTGTTGTTTTTCCGGTGCTGATTTTAAATATTAAACCAAAATACGATATACTAGTAATTTACAGGTCAGACCTATGCCCTAGCCTAGCTGTGTGTAAGTTATAACTTCGAAACATGAATTGAAAGAAAAACTCACGTTTTTGTGCTACTAGGAAGCGTACATGCTATTTCTAGCAATATTTTCTACCTATAGAATTTGTACGTACCACAAGAAAAGGTATTATAGCGCGTGTATATTAATATACAAAGTTATAAACAGATATTGCTCATGCTCACGTTTCGCGCCACACCCCAGCTGGTGACCTTTGCCCTCAGCAGGACCGGGTAGTTCCGCGTCTGCGCAGTGCGTGCCGGTGACGTCACGGCAGTATTTGCAGGTTGGGTGTTCCACAGGAGAGATCAGCGCCGAAGGTCAGTTTGAAACTCCGTTTTCTCGACGTTTTTACCCTCTGTAGACTTGTCAGTAATATTTTATGTATTTAGGAGTTTCGTTTTTACAGAAGGCGGGTTTGATTTGGCGAAAATTGCCGCAGAAGTGGAGAAATTCGCGTCCCAAAAATGGGCGGAAAACTGAGTTGGGGAGGGGCATGCTTGAACTGCGACTGTAAATAATACAAAATCCAACTCGTGTTGGAGGTTTTATAACTGCGATTATCTCACAAAATACACAACAACTTAATAATACTCTTCTTAGACCTCTAAAACACTTATTCTCGACGCTTAATTTATGACCTGTTTTTAGTTCCGATATTTCCTGTTATCGTTCTTGCGATCACAACATATTTTTGCTTCCTTGCCAAAAAATTATGCATGATGGTGATGATGAGGAAACAGCATGTAAAATTCATGCCTGCCCTGTGTGTGCGAACCCTTACGTAAGGCCGCATGACGACATTATCGGTGATCTGGTGATGGTATCAGGTTGGACTACATATTTACGTGCCTGGGTAAAATTCGTCAGGCAATAGCTTGATTCTGTAGCATCTATAAAGTGATATCAAGTTCTTGCCCCCCTCCCATACTCTAGGTCTTCAAATCTATGTATACTTAAGATTAACAGGATTAAGAATTAAGACTTCCCCAACTACCATCATAGATTATCAGGTACGTCATTTAGAGCATTGTTTTTGAAATTGCTCATACAAAATTGTTTTATTCATCAGTTTTTCACACATGCTTCATTACTGGATAATTGATTTTTAATAGAGATATTGAGGCCTTTAGTTTAACTGACAGCTTTCTTTGCACTCTGTTATGTTCACACTTAAAAGTCTTTCAGGGTAAACACTTGTGAATTTGAATATGTATTATGTATAAGGCAATTTCTCAAAGGCAAGGTTTCTATAATTAAAGATAGCGTCATCCTTATTTGAACTGTCTATAATGTGCTTGCTAACTCTAAGAACATAGAGATCTCCATCAGATGAAAATGAAATATTTGCTGCCCAGTCCCCATGCAATGACCTGAGGTTGTCACATTGGGGTCAATAGATCCTCACACCAAACTGTTAGCTGGTCCGGATCAAGCCGGCCTGGACACCAGGACTCAAAATTAACTCCTACATTTACTTACTGTCCCAGAAATGTTCCTAAAGATCTAGAGATATCTCAAATTCTCAACTTTTGAACTGACTCATCAGTGAGTGCTGTTTTTCCAGTTCAAGTGGTAAGAAATCTTTACATGTATACTAGTGTAAGGATACAATATACACCCCCACAAACTATTGGACCAGTCCGGTCAGAGGTCACGGACTGCACATGTTCTGACAAGAATACATTTCATATCCCAGCACTTCTCGCATCTTCATTCCTGGAGTGATTACTTATAAGTTCCAATATCTTCACCAACCGGACACTTATATTGGTGGCAGCGGTGTCTGGCTTCGAACTCCCGCCAGCTCTGTCTTGTGGATCGCATTTGGAGCACATTGCCGACCGACGTTCGAGCGCCCCCCTCCCCCACCTGGTTGACTCGTGTCTACCCTGCTCTACCAAGACTCCAGGTATGGCTAACCTCCATCCGTTTACGCTAGAAGACGATGAGGAAATTACCTTTCCACGGCTGCGACCACTGTTGTCACCTTCAGAAATTTCCCCCATTCAATCCCGTGGCGCATCCGGTGTCCGAACTGCAACCACCCTCCCAGGCGCCCTCCCACGTACAACACCACAGGTGGGTCCCACACCACTGTACAATCAGTATGCTCAGTCTGCTTACGCTACAGGATCTTTTCCTGGTAGGGGTACCGTGCCCACAGCCACGTCTGTTGCTGAATCCAACACTCATGGGACCAGCCCGGCCGGGGCTTCTTACCACCAGGCTCCACCCCCTGCCATGACTCAGGACACCACCAACCAGCAACCCTCGTCAGACCTCCGCCTCAAGACAAGACTGCCACCCACATTTTAACGGCACTGATGATGACTTCACTTTGTGGCTCAACAAATTTGACCTTTATGCCACTTCTCAGAAGTACACCCCTGAGGAACGTGCCATGGCCCTCCCAACTTTCCTTGACAACCATGCCCTGCGTTTCTACCTTGGTTTGCCGAGGCAGGCCCGTGCTACCTATTCAACACTGACTCAGCGCCTGGCCACTGCCTTTTCCAAGGAACACTACATTTACACGTTCCGCCAGTCGCTCCAGGAACGAACTCGCCAACCTGGAGAACCCTTGAT